TGGACTATTTTGACACATATTTTCCTGTGACAAGAATGACATCCATTCGCATGTTTATGGCTATAGCAGCGTTTTTTAATTTAGAAATACGTCAAATGGATGTTAAGACAACTTTCTTAAACGGTGATCTAAATGAAGAGATCTATATGGAGCAACCCGAAGGATTTGTAGTGTCGAGGCAAGAAAAGAAAGTTTGTCGGCTTGTAAAGTCTCTTTATGGATTAAAACAAGCACCTAAGTAATGGCATGAAAAATTTGATCATGCAATGCTTACAAATGGGTTTAAGATAAACGAATGTGACAAATGCGTCTATGTCAAAAACACTGACTAAGGATATGTCATAGTTTATCTTTATGTGGATGATATGCTTATCATTGGAAGCAGTCAAAACATGATCAAATCAACTAAGCAAATGCTTAACAAAAGATTTGATATAAAAGATATGGGGGTCGCAGATATTATGTTAGGAATGAAAATTACTAAAACATCTGACGGATATGCGTTATCTCAATCTCATTATATTGAGAAAATTCTTGATAAATTTATCAAGGATGATATGAATTTAGCTAGAACACCTGTAGACGTCAATCTTTATTTATCGAAAAATAAAGGTGATGCAGTGTCTCAGTTAAAATACTCTCAAATCATTGGAAACCTAATGTACCTAATGAACTGTACTCGTCCTGATATAGCTTATGCTATCAGTAAATTGAGTAGGTACACTAATAACCCTGAAGAAGACCATTGGAAGGCGATCATTCGGGTTCTTAGACATCTGAGATTCACCTGTGATCATGGTTTGAACTTTACTCGATATCCAGCAATACTTGAAGGTTATTGTGATGCAAATTGGATATTGGATACTAAAGATTCAAAATCCGCTAGTGGATATGTCTTTACTCTGGGAGGCGCTGCTGTTTCTTAGAAGTCCACGAAACAAACATGCATCGCACGATCCACAATGGAATCCGAGTTCATTGCTTTAGACAAAGTAGGAGAAGAAGCAGAATGGCTTTGTTACTTCTTAGAAGACATTCCAATGTGGCTAAAACCTGTGCCAGCTATTTGCATTCATTGTGATAGTCAATCTGCAATAGGCAGGGTACAGAATCATATGTATAATGGTAAGTCACGACATATTCGCCGTCGACATAATACCGTTAGGCAATTGTTGTCAAATGAAATAATCTCAATAGATTATATAAAATCTAAAGAGAATATTGCGGATTCGTTAATAATAGGTTTGACAAAAGAGCTAGTGTATAGCGCATCGAAGGGGATAGGATTAAAGCCTATTACATAAGAGTCGTCATAATGGTAACCCTGCTTATATGATTGGAGATCCCAAGAACTAAGTTCAAAGGGACAACTAAGTTATGCGTGGCTCGCCAGAAATCACTAAGGGATTAAAATTCCTTACCCATTCCCATGATGAGAGTGATATCTGCAACATAGATTGTCTGCAGAGATATAAGGATAAGCTTTGCTTTTAATGATTACTTATATCTTGATTTAGGTATAAAAATCAAGACAAGTATAAAGAGATACTTACAATAAAAAGTATTGTCGCATGAGTATCAATCAATGTATTTGGTTTTAATTATTTACAAATTAATTTTTAATTTTTTATATTTTTTATTTTTTGTAAATATTTTTAAAATTTTAAATAATTTTTTTTACTTTTTTAGATGTACCTTATTTAGATATATCTAAAAAGTAAAATATTTGTAAAAAAATATTTTAAAAAATCAATAAATATACAAAAATATATTGAATTCTCATTTTTTTTTTATATTTTTCATATTTAGTGAATTTTCTAAAGATTTTTTTCGCAAATATTATATTTTTTAAGTGTATTTATGTTAGATGTATCTAAAAATTAAAAAAATTACTTAGAATATTAAAAAAAATTAGTAAAAACAAAAAAAATTCAATTTTTTGAAAAGTGAACCTTGAAAATCTAAACCAAACAAGCTCAATAATTTTTCTTTAGGTTCTATTGGTTGAATTTTTAAAATTAAAAATTGATTAAATGACACTCATTTGAATCAAGATTTAAAAAAAAAAAAAATTAACAATAATAATTCATCCCTAATTTTGCTTTCTCAATTCTACCATCAGTGACGTGAAATTGGGGAGGATAAATGTCCCATCCTCTGTTTCATCACCCTTAATTGCAGCTCTAATGAGATAGCAAATAATACCAATCAATTAATTTTTTTCAAACTTTTCTCTTTATTTTCAAAATTATATGTCACATCATTACAAATGTAATTAGGAATGATGAAATAGAGAGATGTAACACAACTCAGGAAAAGAGTGTGGAATCGTTTCACATGGGAGTGAGCCATGCCATTAGAGATGGAATTAAGGAACAAAATTAAGGAGATGTAGTACCTCTCTTTAAAAAAATATGATTAGTCTCCCAATTTTTCTATAATTATATTGATTTTTTTTTTAAATTTTAATTTACATAAAAAGTTGTTAACAAGTGTCCTAAATACACAAGAAAAAGATAAAATAAATATAGAGCCTAATACACTTTTAATTAGTTTATGATACTTTTCACTCATTTTTAAACACTTTTCAACTTTTTTACTATTTTCAAAATACTTTTTGCACTAATCCCAACACTAAATAATGTATAAAAGGCACTTGTTACCATTTGCTTTTACGTAAGGGATGGGCTTCTTTGATAGTGGGATCTCAATATGAGAGAATTTGAGAGGTTTGTAGGATATATTATGAGTCTTATTTTGATTATCTGAACTGTTTATTTTGTAAGGCTGCCAATATATATTATTCATGAAAAAATTTAAGGCGATCTAATAATCATAACTTTTTTATTTTATTGCATTTGTCTCTAAAAAAATGGATGTCAATTTCAAAAATATATTTGTGATTCATCTTTGCGAAGATAAATGCATTAAAATGAAAAAAATTATGATTATTGGATCGAATTAATTTTTTTCATGGATAATATACATTAATAGCCTTAGAAAATGAATAGTTTATATCATCGAAACGGGACTTATGATGAGTCTTATAGATCCCAAAGTTTTCTCATATTGAAATCTCAACATGAAAGAAGTCCTACCCTTTATGAAATACTTAAATCTCTTTTTGCATGCATGAATAAAATAAAGTTATCATCTATTTTCTATTAAAGTATATATTTATTTTTATTTATTTCAACATCTATCCACCACTGATATTAGTTTTGAGAAAAATTATATAATAGTCTTAGAGTACCACGTGATCATACTCTCTCACCAATTACTATTTATTTTTGTCATTTCATATTCCTCAATCACCCAACACAAATAAGAGTAATGCTAGAAATATCAATTTTTTTACCAAATAAATGACCAAATGTCTCACATAAGTGTGGGATCCACAAATGCGTGGGGTCTACACCTATGTGAGACATTTAATTATTTATTTGGTAGAAATTTTGGGATCTATAGCATTTTCTCACAAATAATCAATATTCTACTTTCTCCACCAATCATATTATTATAGAACTTCAAGTTACCGTACTCTGCAACTATCGAATAATTATCCATTAAATATTATTATTTTTCATAATAAATTTATTTATGACTTTTTTGCGAATAACTTTATTCCTACCCGATGAGTTAATTTCTGATTTATTGTCGCCCACAACTAGGCAGTAGTATGGTCAAGAAAGGCGATTTTTTGAAGTCTTTTTCTCTCCGGTTAATCTGGTAGGATCGCTTGATTAGAACAATTCACACTTGCCGATTAAAAACAAAAATAAATAAATAAATAAAGTTAGACTGGCTCCTTTATTTTTTTTTCCTTTGTAGTGTGGTACGTATTGTTTTGTTCCTTTTTGTAACTTCTGCTGAAATAATTTAAATAAATTGGTTATTTAAAAGTTTAGAGAAAAATATTTTGAATTTCTCTTTATGATTATCAATTTTTATTTTTTTTTATAATAAGTTGCACCATTTTTTTTTTTTTTTGAATAGCGAAAAGAATTTTATTGATACAAATCAATGTACAAGATAAAAACATCAGTACAAAGGGTGAAGAAATATCATAACAAAATCAAACGATTCCAACTAAGTTGGCACCAAAGAGCTCCACTGCTCAAATGTAGTTATTTATTGAGAAAATTTCAAATTAGTACAAGTCCTAAAAAATAATTATAAATAAGTGATAAATTTTATAAATATTAATAATTGAAAATCATAAGTCTTTCAATGAATCTGTAATAATTTTATAAAATTTCCAATTAATGGTAATTTCCCCTTATTTATTTCAAGATAATTTTGTAACTAATATATCTAAAAGTTATTATGTTACATGTTAGTTTATTATTAAATAATAAGATCTCAAGTTAAAAATAAGCCGTAATGTATTAATTGTATCAGTTAATAAGTAATATTTTTTTGGTTGAACCGATATATGCCTCGCCATCGAAAATTCATGTTGACTGACATTGATCATCAATTCTATGATCATATTTGATTCATAGATTTGAGAAAAAAATAAAAAATATATTAAAAAAATATGTAAAATATTAGTGAATATGTGGTTATATTTCTATTCGGTTTGTCCTACCCATAAATGAGGTGAGATTTGCTTTTTAAGTTCTAACACAAAAAGCATTTTGGTCTTGTTTGGTTTGTTTCTCGAAAAAATTTTTGAAAAAAATTTTCTACAAATAAATTTTTAAGAATAATCAAATCAAACAAATTTTTTCAAAAAAAAATTTCAAAATTTTGTTTGGTTACCTAGTTTTCAAAATCACTCTCTCTTTCTCTTATACATATCAAATCAATCACTTTTTTTGAAACTCTCTTCTCAAAACAATTTTTTAAAACTATTTCTAAAAAATGACAAACCAAATAAATTTTCATACTTTGTGTTTCAGAAAATCAAAAACCCGCCACGGTGCAAACCAAACCTCTACTCCAAAGCATTGACCAAGCAAGTAAAACATCTCAGCCTTTTTGCGACCTTTTTTCAGTTGAACCAACTGGTTGTTCTTGACCTTTCTTCTAATCAACTTTCTGGGGAAATACCGGTACAACTTGGAAATTTAACTGAATCAAGCTACTTAAGCTTAAACGCTAACAAACTTTCCGGTCAAATACCTTCACAAATTGGAGCATTGTCCAATTTGGGATATCAAGATCTATCACTGAACATGCTAAGTGGTCCAATTCCAAATCAAATTGGGAATTGCATAAAACTACAGTTCATGAGTTTGAGCAAGAATGGCTTGAATGGTTCAATCCCAGACCAGATTGGTTATCTTGTAGCCTTACAAACTTTGCTTGATTTGAGTTACAATTCACTCACTGGAGAGATATTGTCTGAGTTTGGAAAGCTTGTAAATCTTGAAAATTTGAATCTCTCCCACAACAATCTCTCTGGTTCCATACCCAATTCTGTAGTTGACATGGTTAGCTTGTTGTCCATTAACTTGTCTTACAACGATCTTGAGGGTCCTCTTCCTAATACCAAGGCCTTTCATTCTTCTCTGAAATATTTTGCTAATAACAAAGATTTATGTGGTGAAATCCAAGGATTGAGGTCATGTAACACATCATCATCTCCCAAAAATACTAGCCATAAAAGTGAACACACTCGTATGGTCATAATTGTCATCACCTCTTCCATTTTGTTACTATTTCTCGTATTCGTGGTTGTTGGGATCATTGCACTTTACCGCAGTGGACACCAAGTGAGTGTGCAAAAATACCAGTCCCAATCAAATAACGAAAACCTCTTTTCAATTTGGAATTTTGATGGGAGAATTGTGTATGAGGACATCATCAATGCCACAGAAGATTTCAATGAGTATTGCATTGGGGTAGGATGGTCAGCAAGAGTTTTCAATGCTAAGCTACCAAGCGGCCAAGTTGTTGCGGTGAAAAAGCTGAGCGCCACAACCGAAACAATGGAGATTGAGGATTGCAAGAGCTTCACGAATGAGATAGCCACGTTAACAGAAATAAGGCACCGAAACATTGTGAAACTCTATGGCTATTGCTCTCATGAAAGGCACACATTTTTGGTTTATGAGTCCATGAAAAGAGGAAGCTTGGCAAATGTGTTGAGCAGTGATAAGGAAGCAAAGGAGTTGGATTGGTTCAAGAGGGTGGAAGTTATTAGAAGTGTAGCTCATGCTTTGTGTTACATACATCATAGTTGCATGCCTCCAATAATTCATCGTGACATATCGAGCAAGAATGTTTTGTTGAACTTGGAACTTGAGGCTCATGTCTCGGATTTTTGCACAGCAAGGTTTTTGAAGCTTAATTCCTCACATTGGACCACGGTTGTAGGCACATATGGATATATTTGGTTGATTCACGTGGTATATTTGGTTGCTCAAAACCATTACCGAGTGAATGGGAAATTGAAGCCAAAGTGTGCTCCATGGAAATGGAATTTTGGTGGAAATTCCTTAAGGTTGTAAATTGGCTTGTCCCACATTGATTTGGTGAGAAGTTTTGAAAGGATTTATAAGGCTTAGGGTGAGATACTTGGAGTGTGCCCCAAGGGGTACCCAAATGTTTTAGAGGGAGAGGTTATGGGCAAAATGGGCTAGACCCATTGGACCCAAAAATCACCGCGCGCCGCCGTCCATCCGGTCGGGGGCGGGTCCGTGGTGTGTGGTTGGGTTGGGCTTCTAGCGCCGCCGCCGCCGTCCGGTCGGGCGGGCTGGGCTTGGGCGCGGGTGCGTGGTTGGGTTGGGCTAAAAACATTTGAATTTTATTTTATTTTTTGGTAAAATAAAATCCAGAATTCAAATTAAACTGATTTGGATTTTTTGTACATCCAAACAAGGCCCTTCCCGTTTTCAAACAGAAATAAACTGTTTTGGAATTAGTGCACACCCAAACAGGGCCCTTCCCGTAATTGCTATCTGTTTGAATTGTTGAATCTGTTTGAAATTCAAAACCCAACAGGTATCATACCTGTTCAATTCAAAACCAAGAGCCACATACCTGTTCAATTCAAAACCAAGAACCACCTTCACATCTATAAATAGGACCACCCTCATTTGATGTTTTCCATTAAGAAATTTCGTATTTCACTTCTGCTATTTATATTCTTCATCTTGCTGCATTTTATTTCTGAAGGAAATAGTGTAAACACTTAGTGTGTTCGTAAGGCAAACAATTAGTAGTGCTGCTATTGTTTGTGGTAGATCATTTCATCCTGGGAGATAGACGTCCGAATTCTGAAAGCACCGTGGAGAGGACGAATCTGTCTTAAGGACACAGTGTCAAACACTGGACTTGATCAGAAAAATTTGGATTACTAATTAAATCAAGTAAGTTATTTAATTTACTTTCAGTGTTGTATTTATTTGTTTATTTATTCAGATTTTAATTTTGTTTTTGTAACAAAATAAAATCTGTTATTTGGATATCGGATACTAAAGATTCAAAATCCACAAGTGGATATGTCTTTACTCTAGGAGGCGCTGCTGTTTCTTGGAAGTCCACGAAACAAACTTGCATCGCACGATCCACAATGGAATCCGAGTTCATTGCTTTAGACAAAGCAGGTGAAGAAGCAGAATGGCTTCGTCACCTC